GTCTCCTGACTCGAAGCAGCTACAGACACCCAAGCAAACTCTAAAACAGCAGCAAATACGGAAACAAGGTAATAAAGTACGCAACGCTTTATGAAGTTGAATTGAATCATTGTGCTTCCAGTTGTACAATAAGCTGTAATGGTTACGGACTGTGTTTCTGAGGGGGTACAGCACCTATTTCATTCTCTGAATATGCATATGAAGCAAATGCCATGTCACAACTCTGCTTGTCCATCGGATATCTCTAGAATATGAGAACGTTCAATGTGCCCCTGTCTCTCACTTAGCAACCGCTCCCGCAACCTCAACCGCAATTTATTAAAGATAAGAAACTGCAGAGGAATCTTTATGAGAGACACTTAATTTTATCCCTACAGTTGCTGACAATATTTATCAAAACAGAAGGCCTTCAATACACAGAAACTTCTTGAATTCCTCTTTATTGTTGACCAGAACATCGGCTAGATCTTCTCCATAATTTTGCTTGTATAGCGCATTCAGTTCCACAAGCTAAAATTTAGTTGTTTATGTTGTGTTTAAAAATGAATTCTAAAAAATAAAATTTACCAGATCTTTTCTGATTTCTGACGTGAGAACGTGAGTTCGCGCCTAGGGACCAAACAACGAATGAACTAATCGATAACGCATCAACTGTATGCATAGATTACAAAAATTATTATATTTTGTTTTAATAATTACCTTGTGTATATCTGTTGCAATTTCTTCGATGTTTATGGTGAAAAGATTTTTTTTATGTATATCGCCATTTCTAGATTGACCATGAGCTCTGTATCGACGATATGAATGAATCTGAAAAATGATAATCCAAATAAACAGTTCTTCACTTTACCGAAGAACGTAATGCAGTGTGAAAGTAACATCCTCCACCGACAGGTTGTTTTGCGTCCAACCTTTGATGTGGAATCTAAAAAACAAGTAAAAATCTCCAAATGAGTAATTATATCTTACTCGTACTCTGATTTTTATTCTGCCACGATAGCGTTAGCCACATCTTGAACGGACTTTTTGGCGAGTAGACGGCAAAGCTTGTTGAAGGGCTTATAACTCCATGGATTGTTGAGGTGACGTGGCACAATTTCGCCGTCAGCCGTTACTTCAAGCCTTTGGATGTATTCCATCAGAACCAGTTTTGAGGCCTAGAAACAATCCAATAAAGATTAGAAGACTTAAGCAAAAAAGATCTATATCTTTCAATGCATTGAATTACATTAAAAATTAAATTGAAAAAATACATACTTGGAATGACTTTTCGGAGTCTTGAGCAGTATCGCTTTCCTCTAAGTATCTGGTGGCTCTGTGTGGTATTTGTCACATTGGCAGGTATTCTAGGATGTGCGAGCGTTAAGGAGCATAACCCCTCCATACAGAACGATAGTCAAAATCAAATTGCTCTAAGTTTAAACAAGAGTAAAATAATCAGAGATTGTAATCTTGATCTCTTGATTAGTGGAGAAGGTTTTTCAAGGAAATTCAAAATATTCAAAAACTTTCTTCAGAATCGAAGATTCCTATATCCGCAGGATTGACACCACAAGCACTAACATCAACTCCTAGTCTTCAAGAAATGAGTTCAAATGCAGGATCGTATTAAAAAATAAAGAGATAAATATTATAATAAACAGAGCAAAAAGACAAAGAAGTAAGAGATAAATACGAAGCTGATCGTATAGAATTTAAAAAGAGGAGAGATGAAAAGATGAAGAAATATCTGGAATTTGAAAAAAAAAGTTTATTAACACGACATTAAGAAAAGAAATTATAAAACAATGCTTCGTGAAGTAGAAAATGCCCATTTAGCCTGTTCAGTCAGCATTCTTCCC